TACCTTAAGAATATTTACATGTATTTTATATACTTACAAAGTCGATTTTTTTGAAGACATACTTAAACAAAATTATTTGATTCCATATTTTTATATATGTACATACTTTTACATGAAGGATTGTCTCCTTTCCAGTTTTACTATGAATTTTGTCTTACCCGGTATACGTACTCCTGTTTACGTCTAATGTTTATACACGTGTATTTTAGTGTGTGGAATTGATAATGAATTTACATCGAAAAAAAAACATTTGCTAAATTTCGTTATACTGAAAACGATAATATTATACTTTATTTCGTGTTTACATATATAAAAATACCAAATGTTTCATTTGAAGGTATATCATTTAAAACATAAATCTTATTTAGGTTAAAATTAACCTTAATATTTTTTAGGCATTTCCTATTATACAACATATTATACACAGAAATGTATATAATACTGTTTATAAAAACATTCTTCAATGTACATTATTTTCAACTGATGCTTTAAATCGAAGTTCAGCTGGAACTTCAACTAATGCATCAAATAGAATATCAGTTGGAACTTCAACTGATGCATTAAATGAAACTTCAGCTGGAACTTCAACCGAAACATCATCTAAAGTAGTTGATGTTTCAGTTAACACATCAACTAATGCATCCCTTTCCACAGAGGTATGAAATAATACATTTTATTTATATGTATTTAATTACAACTTTGCTTTCATTACCAGTACAATTATTTCAAAATATATATGTTGTACAGGTGTTTTACCTATCAATAAAAATAGTAATTAATTCTATTTAATATTGTATTATAACCAATAGTAATGCACTATAATATCTGGTTTAATACATTAGTCATACTTTTCTTCAGTAACAAAAATAAATGATTAATATTAAAGGTTTGAAAAATTCATGGCCATCCTTTATATAAACTATTTTTTATGTATTTTAGAACATGGTAAAACTATTTCAATTCAAAATAATAATTTATTTTATAAGTTTAGTTTAGTGAAATATAATTTTTTAATTAATTGCTTTATAAGGTACCAAGAATGACATATGAAATAATTTTTATTCCACTTTGAAATGCATATTATAGTATTTTACATGTTTTAGTCTAAACCTGATAAATTGTATAAAAAAATTGAAATTGAAGTTAGAGGACATGATCCTGCTGTTCTAAAAAGCTATGGACACTTTGCCGTTATGGCAGCAGAGGCTTTAGAGATTAATGTTCATAGAAAGTAAGTTATACTCGAAAACATTTATATTTATGGTAGTATATACTGATAAATCTAAAATTATAATATTAAAATTAACAGTGTTGAATTACGAAAGCCTATACATGAAAGATTGACACTACTTAAATCTATTCATGTTCATAAGAAACATAGGGTTCAATATGAAACAAGAACATATTATAGATATCTTGATTTTTTTCATTTAACTGGTTCAACAGCAGATACATATTTAGAATATATAGAAAGAAATCTTCCAGAAGGAGTAGCAATGAAAGTTACAATGGTATGATTTAAAGTTTTTATTTCTTAGTATATGAAAAATACAAGTAACTGAAATTTATCTTTCATAGGTGGAATTGGAAACCTTACCTGCAACAATTCAGCAAGCAGTTCATTCACAATAACGAATAAATGGAACAATTGATTGTTTTCTTTCTTTTAGCAAATAGTCAAATAAATGATATACGAATATAAGTTTTTGTTTTTCTTTCAACAGTGATAGTAATAACAAGCAAGATGGTATAACATTCTCTATTTTAATACTAGTATGTGTTATTTTACATTACAGCTTTATTATGATTACAGTAATATTGTATTTATATTGCTGACTTAATAACAATAACACTGCGGGATGAATTTCTAATTTTGCTGGTTGTATTTTCAAGTTCTGGTAGCAAACGTTTTCTTGTAAATATAGGTAATAAACTTTTCATTGATTTAATATTTAAAGTACTTATCGGCGTATTTTCTATACCTTTCGTGGAAAATCGTTTTACACCCGTATTGTTGTCTGTTTCATAGTTAGTATATGAATTATTATTATTAAATTCCGAATTAACATACTTGGGTGCAGGTTGTAATTCTCGGGAAGTAGAATTCTTCTCTCGCATTGTAAACGATATATATTCAACAGGTTTATTTGAATTAATATTTGATGTTCCTTCGTCTCGATGTTTTCTGTTCAATTGAACACTAGCTATACATTTATGTAAAATAAACTCGTGTCCTACAAAATATAAAAAAATATATGCAAATAAGATGTACGATATTTGATGAATGATGATTTTTATAATTTTCAGAAAAAAAAGTGAAATGTACCTAGTAAACTATTTAATAGAGCCATTTTAATAATCATAACTTTATTTTATAAATAAAGTGTATACATTATATTGTTTAAAATTTTTAATTCGCATGAAATTTCTAATAAATTGACGATGTATTTTGTTTAAATCTGTACTTACCTCTTGATTGATAATTTGTGTTACTATTCAATCCACAATTTAAGTGAATTTTAGTTATAATGAGGAATATAATTAGTCCTTTTGTCATTTGAAATGAAATATATAAAAACGGTGATGCTTATAAAGGTTTAGAAATTTTAATGAATAAAATAATTTCACAAAATGAGAACAAAGTGGAAAAACAAAGTGTTGGAAATGAAAGTACAATTGTCACCTTTGTTAAGACAGTAGCAAAATAAAAAATATGAAAATTAATCCGCTTTCAAGTAACTTTCAGGATTTCGTATATTACACAGTCAACCAAATGGAAGCTGCTATCTTGTTCTTCTATTCTTTTTAATATTATTCGAGACAAACCGGTTTGAAGGGAGAATCAGGTTCGAAGTTACTATGTCATTTATGACAATTTTCGTAGTGTTCGTTCATATAATATTTGTACCTCACTGTTCAAGTGTTTATTTTTTATCTAAACATTGGCAAATTTTACAATGTATTAAATTACAAAATTTATTTTCTTCCTTGAGAAAAGTAAAATCAAAATATCCAAACTACTACATATATCGAAATAAACTTAAACATTATACGCACCAAAAATGAATGTATTACAGAAAAAATGCTGGTAAATAAAATGTTACATGCAATTTTACGAAGTGTAGTTTGAATTTACAATTTGTACTGTTTTACGTGTATTAACAGTAATAAATAATAAAAAGTAAAAGTAATGAACTTCTAAAACATATTTACATATCTGCATTGCACGAAATTACTGTAAATTTAAATTGCGAGGATAATAACTTATTTGTATATTTGCATTTTTTTTATTTAGTATATTCTAGTAATTTGTCATAATAACATGCTTTGATCAAAATGACCATACTCGAATATAGTCAACAACGAAGGTTGTTGTTTCACCCTGTCCTCGTTTCCATGTAGGCAGCCATTGATCTTTCTTATACCAAAACTGTAACATTGCCTAAAAGATATCAAACATCATTAATTATTTTGTGTTAGATCAATATTACAACAATAAAATATTGCCATTTCTTTTAGTAAACTATATTTATATTTAAAAAATAATAAACAATTGATTAACTAGTAACTATCTATTGTATTTTATTTATAGTTAGATTATAGAAAATAACTTTTCGAGATATTAACTTATATTCGATGGTTTCCTAGTTTTATGACATAATGATAGAAAAGAATTTATGTCATATTCCTAGTTGTGTAGTGCTTACACGTAGTTATAAAATTTTGAATATTGAAAAATATTTTTTTCGGTTTTATAACAATAATTTCTACATGTCAGCAAAAAACCCTACATGCGAGTAAAAGCCCAATTATTCACCTAAAACCCCTACAATGTTGTACACCATTCCCATATTTTTCGTCGAATAAATTCAATTAAACAGTAAAAATATAAAAACTAAAAAGTAATTAACTGTGTTTACAAGTATTCATAAAAATATTTTTACCTTAGCACCAACATTCCTCCAAGGTTTGTTGTATCCTGAGCTTGTTGTTTGATCGGGAAATACCCGAACTCCACCAACTCCTAGACCAATAGTGATGTAAAACTGAAAAACACAATGAAAATTGTAAAAGTGAAAAGAATAATTATATTTCGAATTAAATTGTTGATAATTATAGTAATAATAATTATTAGCAATGATAGTTTGTGATGATTATTTGTAATTATATCATAAAAAATTTGTTCTATTTCAAAATGAAAATTAATGAAATTGAATCAATGAAAACTATCATTTAATGCTTGAAACTGACGTTTTCTTTTAAATTTATATTTTAAACGCATATACACATTAACAATTTGACCATGTAAAACAGGCCACCTAATTATCTTCTCTAAGTACTTAGTTATGGTGGTATGAGATAAATGTTTATTCATCTATACTCCAACACACTGTACATGGTATATTTTGTATACCTCTTGATCGAAGGGAGCCATTTTGTCAAGATTCTTCATACCAAACCATCCATTTGTGTCAGGATTCAGTTTACCAACTTTTTCACCATCAACCAAAAACTGAAATCCATCACTGTTCCAAATCGTTGTATAAACATGAAAAGTTTTCGTCCATCCTGGACCGTTTTCTAGTATTTTAGAAATAATGTAATCTTCAACTTTTGCCGATGGTTGTATCCTGAAACCAAAGTCTAATCTTCGTGAATCGAAGACACTTCTATTGGTGATATTAACTAAATTATCATTTCCACGAGCAAGACCGAGGATAACACGTCCGCTAGAATATCCAAAACCGTAATTGTTGTATTTTGGTTGAAGCCACATTTCTGTTACAATTAAACGTAATATACGATCATTATTTCATTTATTTACGTTTTATTAATGGAAGTACTCTATAATTATATTAATATTCACCTGGATATAACCAATCGCCTTCAGGAAATTTTGCCCGTATTTCAATTTTACCATATCGAAAGGAGAAGCTATTTAGTGTATTTAATCTTGCAGATATTATAGGTGGCAAAATATTGTACGCCATTGCTTTACGCGAACATTCTACCGGAATATTACTGGTACAGCTATAACGAATAAAAGAATTTCAAATTATTAGGGCATGTAAAATAAAATTCTAATGTTATTCTAGTTTATAATTCCTAACAACTACATATTTACTATTAATTATAAACACTAAAATAATAATCAAAAAGCTTAGTTACAATTAGAAATAAAGAATCATTTGATTGCTAAAATATAGGAATCGCTGAAAATATTAAAAGACTTTTATATGACTTTCCTGTAATAATGAAAGTTAATTTGAAAGTTCGATAAACGTATTCTAATAAATTTAGTATTCTTTACTATAACAGCTTAACTTTTTCAAATATCGTGTATAAATTTCATTATTACATTAAATTTATAAACAATACTAGTTCTTTTTATGTCTTCTCATAATTAATTTTAGAAATATTATGTACAAAGATTTAAAATTAAAAGATACACATTTTGCAAGTGAATATTACACTCACTCACTAAGTATCAGTGTTCCATATGCAGTTACATTTTCACCATAATTGTCTTCTAAAATTATTGGTTTAATACGAAGCATTCCATTTGCAATTTTTACTAAAGATGGATGATTTTCATTGTGGTAAACGCAAAATTCGTAGTCCTATAAAATAAAAATTATATTATAGTCAATTCTTTCGCAACATATATTATCAAAAGTATTTTATTATTTATTATTTTCGCGCATAACTTACCGGACTTAATGGAATTTGAATAATACGGCTCCATAGTGATGTATTCAGATGGTTAAAGTTTTCATCAAGCACTAATTTACCAGCAGATGTTGTCGTTTCATTTGTACTTGAAGCTTGTTGCTTATTAGCTGCAATTATAAAATATACACTTTCCTATATTGTATTTATATTTTTTTAACTATTTTTTTAAAATGTAAAAATCGTTGTGTATTAAGTATTAAGGAAATCTTCAATTTTAAGGATATCAATTTCTTTGACTTTCGAAAAGTTCTAAATCTAAAATCACGAATTTAAGAAAGACAGTTTTATTTGTCTAGGTTCATTTTCATTTATGCAAATTCTAACTTCGTAGCGATGTAAGTATTAAATATAGTATAGGCTACGTACATGTAATCGACCAGGTTTTATTTTTCTTATATGTTTTCCCGTCAACTTGCGCATGGATCCAGTAATGTATAACGTCTCCATCACGTAAATATACATCTTGATTTTGAATAGTCCATTTTCCATCTTTCTTTTTGTATACTTCACCTGATATATCTCCTAACTGATCCTTTGCAATTTCTTTATTTGCATTTCCTTGAAATGCAAAAAATTGCAATCCTGGCTCGTCTATTTTAAAATACGCAAAAACACGTTCAATATACAACTATCGTCGAAGTAAAGATTAAATTTTAATTAATCAATTGACTTATTTTTCTGTTTATAGAAAAGATATTCCCATATACAGAGAACATTTTTTTTTTTATTATAGGTTTTTTGTAGTATCTACTGTTAGGTCAGTGGCAGCGAATTTAAATCGATTTGCTTTTACATGCGGGTATTTCAATTTGGTAGTAGAGATCGGTGTTTTTTATTAAATGTTGAAAATGTAAATTTCAATTGTGAAAACTTTTCTTTAATTAAACATTGGTAAGTAGAAATAAACTTCGTTTATTTATGTCAGTGTCTTGAGAAGTATAAGGGGAGGTAAGAAGTTTGATATTTAACGATGTGCAGCCTAATAGCTGGCAACCAACGATGCAGGCTTATTTGATTCCTTAGGAAACAACGAATTTATAACGTAATTTATAATATTTTATAACAATAAATGACCTCAAATTTCTCAACAAATACGGTCGTACTATGAAAGAAAAAATATGTGATTTAATATATGAAATATATGAAAAATATATGATATGAAATAAAGAAAGTGCAGTAAGATGGTACACATGACCGTAAGATGGTATAATTCAATTTTGAAAAGAATTTAATGCTTAAAATTTCTCCCACTAGATGCCGTACACTCTATATACAATAACACTATAAGACTGTCCATAAAATAATAAAAATATTGTATAAATTTATAAATCTTATAATTGCAAATATGTTTGAAAATTGTAGTATGTAAAATTAGCCAGTAAAATTAGTATACTACATGTATAGGAAATGTTTGTACATTTATAAATTTGTTTTTTTTTGTGGTCACATTTTGCAGTACACTATCAGTTTTTGGCGTTCATTGCTGACGTTACCTGTTATATGTATGTATATGTACTTATATGATGTGTGAATCATGGGAAATATGTGTATATTCATAAGTAAAAGTCGATTAACACTTGACCATGATAACCCTGGAGAATTACGAACGTATTTGTACTTGAAATTTGCTGTGTCCATACGTAATATTTCATACAAAATTGTATTTCTTTAAAATTCAATACATAATAGTTACTCACCCGGTATAGATACACGAATTCCTTGCGGTTTTAAAATTTCAATCGTTGGCTCCGGCAAGACATAAGACTCAACTAACGTATAAAAACTTCCCAAGTGTAAAAGAAGTGCGGTAAATATTGAAATAGAAATAATACTGTGACCAAACATACTTTATAAAGAATAATAAACTATTTGAAAGAACAGAAACTATCCACGCCGATATTCAAAGTTATTGACGAGAAAGTGCGAAACATCGGTAAGTATTTGCACAAAGAACTGGCGACACTGCACTGGCACTGATCTCTCACATTGACTTTTGCAACTCTTTGTACTGTTCCCGGGGCATCCCAGCTGAATGAATCAACAGCAAAGTTGATAATTTTATATGCAGTTCCGCGTATAAGACATAATGACGTAAACAAATGGAAACTTGGTTACCTTTTTGCGAAATTACAGATATATCAAAAAGGATAAACAAAAAATTTATTTGTTTTAAATGATACTATTTATGTATGTGAAATGTATATAAAATATATCGGTGAAAATTTTACATTTACGCTTTGTTAATATAAATAACTTTATAACATTATTGAAAGTTGTTTGTCTACTTTCAAATAATTACAATTAAATTATGATAGAAATTAGAACGTAATATTTTGACTCACTGAGGGTAGGTTAGGTTA